TACGACAGACAGCTTTCAACTACTAACACACAGGTCACGGGTTCAAGACACACAGGGTCGACTTGATACTGTACACAGGCCACGTAAGGTAAGGTGCTGTCTCTTATACACATCTAGATGTGTATAAGAGACAGGTGTGTGTGTGTGTGTGTGTGTGTGCGCGCGCGCTGTGTGTGTGTGTGTGTGCGTGTGTGCGTGTGTGTGTGTGTGTGTGTGTTTGTGTGTGTCTGTGTGGAGGAGGGGGGGAAAGGATAACCGGGCACAACAATAAGATTGTGAAGCGGGCACAGCAATAAGATTTTGGAACGGGGTTTAAAATGCTCCCCTCCCAATGGATAGGAACAACAGGGAAAACCAAAATCGTACCTGCAAGGAGATTCTTGAAATTAGTTCGCTCGCAGTGACATCCAGCGCAGATGCACTGTTCCCTTCATCGCGATCGAAGTACTCAGCACTGGATATCGCATTCGCCGACTGACACAGTTTCCAACCCCAAAAAAAATCAATTTCAAATTAAAGAAAGTTATAAAACCGTTCTCGAAGGAGCAAAGAGCAACCACAGACGAAAACAACACCAAAAAAAAAGAAATCAATGAGCCACAGTCACAACTTCAATCTCTTCAAAGACATCTCCACACCCTTGAAGTGGCTCTGGTGCAGACACAAACATTTTCTATACTTCTTTTTTTCTTCTTTTTTTATTCCTCAAAGAAATGTACTCGCCGACCCCTTCCCAACCTAACTATACTTTCAAAACCGATACCTTTCAACAAAGGGGTGTGCATAATAAACTTACGTTTTCACACATACAACAGGGTTTGCCGAAGGGCAATCGTATCGCCTTCGATCGTGTGGCCCCACATTAAGCTTAATAATAATAATAATAATAAATGAAAAAAAACGATGCCCACCTTTACCAAAAGTATCATTACTTCAAGCAATGGACTCTTCAGCACACCGCCTTCTTTTTTTTTTTTTGGCACACCCTTTCCTGGCGCACTGTCATTTTTTGCCCCGGCCTTGCTGGAAAAGAAACCGGTCACCTACAAAAATTTTGGAGGCTCGGACACCGCCAGTACACAGCCTTCCTGAAAAAGAAACTAGTCACGTACAAAAATTTCGGAGGCTCGGCCTACCGGACCACACTGGCTGTCAGCACCAGCCGGAGAAAAAAAAAAAAAAAAAAAACAGAAGTGATCTGCTGGAGACTCGGAAAAGCTTGGCATGCAGTAAGGCACCTGCAGGCCCGGGTGCAATGGTGGTTTAAAGCATTATCTTTTTTTTTCCTTTTTCTTTTTTTTTTTTTCTTTTTTTTTTTTGGTTCAAAGCATGATCTAAAGGGAGCTACATACATACTCATATTCTCAGGAGATTAGCACAAACATAGCACCAGGCAGGGGGGGGGGGGGGCGCCTCAAAGTCAAAGGATTGAGGATTGAGCGCTGCTGGACTATCTCTATGTCCATACTAGGAAATCGGACAGTCTCAAGACTGGAATTACCAAAAAAAGAAAGAAGAAGATGGGACAGTCAAAATCAGATGCTCCCGCATGCTCCCTCGTTGGAGGCTTGAGCATGGATGTGGCTGCTACGGGGTTCCCCGTAATACTTAATGACATTAAATAAAAAAAGGGCCTGAAAGGCCGTCCTGTCTGGATTCGACAGGTAATTGAATTGGTTGGGCTTCAAACAATTATCCTTTTTTTCCTTTTTTTCTTTTTTATAAATCAGATGAGAACTATCAAGTCCCGATATTGGACTGTGATTTCAAAAAACTTAGACAAAGGGCCTCGCTGCACTACTGTCCAAGTGTGAAAAATGAGAATGAATCTTTTGCTCAAACATGGAAAGATGCATCGCCATATTTTGTGTCTTTCCTGCACGTGGACAGTAGTGCCGCGAGGCCCAAAGGCCTGGCTCAGTGGGACCTGCCCCTAAAACCACTTCCGCTACTGTTGATATGTTCATGTGGTGAAATGTTCATGCTTGGAAAGCATGAACCTGGCCGTGATAGTGGTCAAATTCATGCTTCCCTAGCATGAACATAGCACCAGTGGGGCCTAACCTTCCGCACCAGGCCCCAATAACGCTATGAGCCTATGATTATGCTATGCTAGCACGAACCAAGCCACTTTCACGACCAAGTTCATGCTTCCTAAGCATGGACATAGCACCAGTGGGCCTAGCCCGTGCATCGACTTTCCCGGCCACCTACTTCACGAGTTCAAACTTCAAAGCAATCTGCCCACCCAATGGAAAATGATCTCTCCTACTGCCTTCTTCTCCGGATAGCACGTACAACAATTATCGCTGCACC